ACAGTTTCAAGAGGGAAGTTTATAGCAAAAATACCTACATCAGAAAAAAGGAAGATCTCAAATAAACAACCTAACTTTATGCCCAAAGCAATTTGGAAAAGTATAAACTAAGCCCAAAGTTAGCAAAAAGAAGGAAAGAGTAATTATTAGAAGAGAAATGAATGAAACAGAGATAAGAAAAGCAAGAGAAAAGATTTTTTAAAAAGGTGTTTGGTTTTTGAGAAGATAAACAAATTTGATAAATATTTAGCTAAATTAAGAAAAAAAGAAAGAAGACTCAAATACAATTGTGAATGAAAAAGAGACATTGCAACTGATGCCACAGAAATACAAAGGATCATGAGAATACTATAAAGAATTATATGCCAACACATCAGATAACCTAGAAGAAATGAAGAAATTCCTAGAAACATACAACCTATCAATCCTAAATTATGAAGAAGAAAATCTGAACAGACCAATAAAAAATAAGGAGATTGAATTAGCAATCAAAAACCTGTCAATAAAGAAAAATCCAGCACCAGATGGCTTCATGGGTGAATTCTATAAAACATTTTATAAAGAATTAATTCAAATTCTTCTCAAACTCTTATAAGAAAACAAATATGAGGGAATACCTGCCAGCCCATTTTATGAGGCTGCCAGCATTACCCTGATACCAAAAACAGACAAGGACTCAACAAAAAAAGAAAAGTATGGGCCAATATCCCCAATGAACACAGAAGCAAAAATCTTCAATAAAATGCTAACAGACCAAATTCAACTGTATATACCATGAACAAGAGGAGATTTATCCATGGGATGCAATAATGGTTGAACATACACAAATCAATAAATGTAATATACCACATTAACAAAATAAAGAATAAAACATATATGATCATTTCAATAGATGCATAAAAAGCACTTGACAAAGTTCAACATCCTTTCATGATATAGAAAGCATACACCTCAACATAATAAAGGTCACACATGACAAGCCCACAGCCAGCATCCTACTCAATTATGAAAGGATAAGAAAATGGAAAATGGAAAGATATCACATATTTACAGATTAGAAGTATTAGTGTTGTTAAAATGTTTATACTACCCAAAACAATCTACAGATTCAATGCAATCTCTATCAAAATTCAATGGCATTTTCTGCAGAAACAGAAAAAGCAATCTTAAAATTTATATGGAATCACAGAATACCATGGATAGCCTAAGCAATCTTGAGATAGAAGAACAAGTATATGGAGGCATCACATTTCCTGATTTTAAAATATACTACAAAGCTATAGTAATAAAAACATTGCTGTACTGGCATAACACCAGACAGGCAGACATCATAGACTAGTAGACCCATACAATAGAAAGTGAAGAAATAAACCAATGCATACATGGTCAACTAATCTTCAACAAAGGTACCAACAATACACAATGGAGAAAAGATAATTGTTTCAATAAATATCATTGGGAAAACTGGATATCCATAGGCCAAAAAATGTAATTGCACCTTCATATTACACTATATACAAAAATCAACTTGAATTAAGGACTTAGAAATAAGCTCAAAAACTATAAAACTCCTAAAAGAAAACATAGGGGAAAAACTCCTTGGCATTGGTCTTACAAACAATTTGTTGAATATGGCACTAAAAGCACACAAAAGCAAAAATAAACAAATGAGATTACATTAAACTAAAAAGCCTCTACACAGGTAAGGAAGCAACTAACAAAATTAAAAGGCAACCTATGAAATGGGAGGAAATACTTATGAAACATTTATCTGATTAGGAGTTAATATCTAAAATATATAAGAAACTCATATAATCCAACAGAAAAAGAGAAAACAATCCAGTTTAAAAAAATGGGCAAGGGACCTAAATACACATTTTTTTTCCCAAATAAGACATACAGACATTCAAGTATATAAAAATGCTCAATATCACTAATCAGCAGAGAAATGCATATTAAAACCACAATGCGATACTACCTCACACCTGTTAGAATGGCTTCTATTACAGAGACAAAAGATAGTAAGTTTTAGCAAGGATGTAGAGAAAAGAAAACCCTGGTACACTGTTTGAGGGGATTGTAAATTGGTACAGACATTGTGGAAAATAGCGTGAAGGTTCCTCAAAAAAATTATAAATAGAACTATCATAGACCCAGCAGTCCTACTTCCAGGTATTTATCCTAAGGAATTAAAATCAGGATCTTAAAGACATACCTGTACTCCTGTGTTGACTGTAGCATTTTTCACAATAGCCAAAGTATGAAAATAACCTAAATGCTCATAGACAGAAGAATAAATATGGAAATGGTAGTACACACACACACACTCTTTCTTTCTCTGTCTCTCTCTCTCCCCCGCAACACACACTTGCACATATACAAAATGTTATTCATCCTTAACAAAGAAGGAAATTCTATCACATATAACAACATGGATGGACCTGATCTAAATTATGTCAAGTGAAATAAGACAGACACAGAAAAGCAAATACTATGTAACCTCACTTATATGTGGAATCTAAAACAGTCAAACTCGTAACAGCAGAGAGTAGAATGGTGGTTACCAGAGGCTGAGGAAAGAAGATACGGGGAGATGTTGAACAAAATGTGCAAAGTTTCAGTTATGCAAAATCAATCAGCTCTTGAGATCTCACGTATAGCATGGTGACTAAATGTAACAATATTGTATTGCATACTGAAAATGTGCTAACAAGGTAGATCCTAAGTGCTCTTGTCCCCAAAATAAACAACTATGTTAAATAATGAATACGTTAATTAGATTGATTGTGGTGAATATTTCAAAATGTGTATATATGTACATCAAATCGTCAAGTTAAATATATACAATTTTTAAATACATAGAATTTTTAAAGCCCCTGAGAATGAATGTTTATGGTATTAATATTTCTACTTCCACACTCCCCACAAATCCTGCTTCACTTTACACAGAGACACAGACAATTAATACACGAACACACCTTAAAGCACCAAGCAGTTACTCATTCCATTCATTTCAGTACAAAAAGTACTTCCTGGGCGTCTTTTGACTCTTTGCTTGCCAACCGCCCAGTTTGTCCATGCAGTATCTATTAGTGAAGCTATCTTGGGGCAAACAGGCAGCCCAGGAGGGTTGGCAGTTATAACCAGCAATTACCAAACTGGTGTTGAAATTATTTAAAACAGTCTTGATAAGATTTGTTAAACACCCTTTGAAACTATTTCACATCTGAAATGGCTAAATTGAGGTAATTTTCACAGGAAAATTAAATCACCGAGAATAGCATGATAATAAACCATGATAAGAAGTAGCAGTTTTATATCAATGATGTTAAGCTAATGGGAGAAATACAGAAGTCTCAATTTTATCACCATTCAGTCTGGAATAAATAAAAACTTAGGACAGAACAAATTAAGAAGTGAACAATTTAATACCATAATTAGTGGTGAGAAATGTAAAAATTAGTAATCATTGAAGAAATTATTACCATATGTTTAATGTATTAACTGTAGCTTTTAAAACTATACTATATTATTTTGTCAGATTATGTAATTAGTGAGATTTTTCTAGAGTGTAAGCTACTTCCTGAGAGGAAAATCAGGTTTTTTGGAAGCCTCAATATTTAGGCCATATTTAACTGTATATTAATTCTGTATTAAGGTTTATGCAATGGAAGTTCTGATTCAATTGTAAAAACAGGTTTTTTAAGGTGAGGTGCCAAATAAGGTGTCAAAAAACAATATTTAGTCACTGGTAATTACAGGTCACTAAATAAATCTGAAGTCTTTATGCCTCCTACGATCTTACAAGGTTTTAGGAGATAGACCTGGGAAAGTTAGGGTGACCCTCGTAGATCTTAGAATGCTCTCCCTGTCAAGACATACACCCATGTCAAAGACCCTCAGAATATCAGGTACATTTCAGAGTATTCCCAGGATACTAGTATAGACTATGAGATAAGTCCATTAATGACTAGAAATTCTTGAAGGAAACTGGAAATGCAGACCTACTTAAAATAGTCAGGATTTTTGTAACTTATCATCACTTAATGCAGGGAATATTCTTTTTCATTTATTCATTCGTCACAAAATAAAAAATATCCACATTGTAGCAGGCACTCAGATACATATACTCTACTTATAGGGCTTATATTTTCTTAGAGAAAAGACTAAATATAGACATATAAATGTGTAGGCACACATGTAAATGAAACAAACTCAAAATTAAGCTAAATGCTGTGAAAGAAATTCAAAAGAGATCAAAGATATTATGGGGGCTGGGGATCACCTTTACAAAGCCAGGGCAGTCCTCTCTGAGGAAGTGACATTGGCAACAACTTGAACTAAAAACAACCTTGAGAAGCTTGGTGGGAAAGAACATTCTAGGGAGAGGTTGCAGCTTGGTAGAAAAATCTCCTGGAGCAGAGTAAAACTTTTGTATATTCAAGAAACAGAAAAGTTCTATTCGAGCTGGAACATTAGGGAGGAGGGTAAACGTCACACATGCACACCTCAATTTCCCTGGACTTACACAGCATGCAAAATTGGAATACAGAGCTATAGAAATTGGACATAGATGTATAGAAATGGATAAGTATTCAGAATCATAGTCTTACTAAGATTAGTTTGCATAGCATAAGATTCATCTGAGTATGAGCTTAATGATATTTAATAAATACATATATAATTGTGCAACCAACACCCCCAAATTTAAAACATTTTCATCACCCCAAAAACTTGCCTCATGTTCTTTGCAGTTGATTTCCACTCTGTTAATCAGACCCAGGAAACCAGTGATCTATATTTTTTCTTCATAGATTTACATTTTCTAGAAGTGTCATATAAATTTAAACATACAATACGTAGTCTTAGTGTCTGGCTTCTTTCACTTGGCATAATGTTTTTGAGGTTAATCTGTTGTTTCCTGTATGCACAATTCATGGATTTTATTGCTGAACTGTATTCCTTTGTATAAATATACCACATTCTCTTTATTCACTTACCATTTGATGGACATTTGTGTTGTTCCCAATTTTGAACTATTATCCATAATGCTACCATAAACATTGGTTGACAAATCTTCATATGAACACAAGTTTCAGTTAGATACCTAGAAGTGAAATTATTTGGTTGGTTATATGGTAGCTCTGTGAATAGCTTTTTAAGCAATTGCTGTACTGTTTGAGTCACATGTTCTTAATTTCTTGCTCATAAACTGGTCATGGAGGACAATAATAATTATGAGAAAGTCTGCTGGAATACTTAATGGAATCTATAGAATACTCATCTCTTTCTAACCTGACACCGTAGTATCACAAGGAACCTGGATATGAGAATAGCAACTACTGCCACTGACTTGGAAATAAAAGATCATGAAAACAAAGTGGACAACCTGTAAAACGTTTACGAGGGCTTTACATAATTTTTTTTTTGTGATGGATTTTTGCTCTTGTTGCCCGAGCTGGATTGCAATGGTGTGATCTCGGTCCACTGCAACCTCCACCTCCCGGGTTCAAGTGATTCTCCTGCCTCAGCCTCCAGAGTAGCTGGGATGACAGGTGCGACTAATTTTTTGTATTTTTAGTAGAGACTTTGTTTCACCATTTTGGTCAGGCTGGTCTTGAACTCCTAACCTCAGGTGATCTGCCCACCTCGGCCTCCCAAAGTGCTGGGATTATAGGTGTGAGCCACCACAGGTGGCCTACATAATTATTTTAATGAACCTCTCAGTTCATCACATTAATGCAGGGTCTGTCGTAGAAAACATTTTTTCTAATTCTTGAAACTGAAGTTTGTGTAATTCCAACCAATGTGGAAATCTATCTTGCGATATATTCCTCCAGAAATATTCCTCCACCATGAGGTCCAAAATGTAAGTTTCCCTTTTCTCCTAATAAGAACTATTTCCATGACATTAACCTATTTCTTGGCCATCATCTACATCTGGACAATGGAATTTTCCTATAATAACTTCAGATCTCAGAAATTTAAAAGGTAAATGAAATGCTAAATTTGCCTACTAGTGGAGGGTGGCAAAACTGATGAAGACAATGTGCAATGACTTTCTATATGAGGCAGAAACATGCACAACGCATAAAGAAAAAGAAACTAAAAATATCTGATGTTGTTATAAAGGAAAGCAGAGCCAAAAGCAATTTGTCTGTGCTTCTTGCCCATCTGTGTGGCTCCTTCACTTAAACAGCCAATGCAGTCAAATCTGATTTGCTTTCCTGTTATAAAAGTTGTGGCTTAACTAGGAGCTATGCTGAAATGTCTAGATAAAGACATCTTTACATAAATACTGTATATATGTCTATGTTTTACACATATGCTTTCTACATGTGATTTTTGTACACACACCCTGTCTTCCCATCTTCAGGTAATGTGTTAGCCCATGAGAAATATCTAAAGGGAAGTCTTTCTTCTAGAGCCGGGAGAATTGTTCTTTCTTCTAAACTTGACTGTATCACTAGCAAAGCTACAGCGAAAGAGTTATTTCTCTGGTCTCGTTTCAGAAAAGAAAGTTACCTTCAATGCACTCAAAACTGGAAGAAATAAACGGAGCACTTATAAAAAATACTCCTGGGTACACAGGAGGTATATGTACTGTGGTCCTTGTCCATCAAATTGGGAGCTAAGAGACTAAGTGATTTGTCCAACATTATTAAGTTCTTCCCATGAGGAGCTAAACATGACATCCAGATAGCCTGTCCTTCAGACTAGTGTTCCAACCAGCTGACCACTCTAGCTATAAACAGTTGCCCCGGCTGTATTTTCCCACTCCTGGATGATTGTCTGCCTGGCAATGAGACGACAGAAGCACTAAGCCAAAATATCCTTATGTGGGCATAGCTGCCTCTTCATGGCAGAGCCAATTTGGATCCCATCCATTGGCAGGGATGTCCCAGAAGCAGCCAATTTTAGTTCAGCCTCTTTAAAACTCTGGATTGTAAACAAACAGTAGGAGTTTCTTTCCACAGTGGAAAGGAGAATAATGAGAAGAAGGATGCAGAAGAGAGGGGGTAAGTGAGGCTAGCACCTAGTTTACCAGAGGAATCAGGAATGAAAAAAATGAGCTGGAAATCTCCAGAGACTAACTGATAATGCCCTAGATCTTTCAACTTTTAAAGACTGAACTGCGCGGAACTCTCTTTCCTCCTTTTCTTCCATACTCCTTTAAATTTTCATCTCATTGCTTGATTCTCTCCATTATTGTCTTGGCCTTTTCTTTCTTTCTTTTTTTTTTTTTTTTTTTTTTTTCTTCTGTTGAGACGGAGTCTCGCTCTGTCGCCCAGGCTGGAGCCAGACTGGAGTGTAGTGGGGCGATCTGGGCTCACTGCAAGCTCCGCCTCCCGGGTTCACGCCATTCTCCTGCTTCAGCCTCCCGAGTAGCTGGGACTACAGGCGCCCGCCACCATGCCCGGGTAATTTTTTGTATTTTTAGTAGAGATAGGGTTTCACCATGTTAGCCAGGATGGTCTTGATCTCCTGACCTCGTGATCCGCCCGCCTCAGCCTCCCAGAGTGCTGAGATTACAGGTGTGAGCCACCGCCGCCCTGCTGTCTTGGCCTTTTCTTGATATTTGAAACAGCAGGTAAAAATTGGCCATGTCTAGTAGGCGGTTGCTAGTTTAGTAATAAAGGGTAGTAACTGTAATTGCCCATTTTGAATAGTGTTCGTGTTTTTAAGGATTTCACAAACAAATCTTCATCAAATAAATGTTTTTAAAGAATCATTACTGATTAGATTCGATATAAATTAAGGAAGTTCCCATCATATCTCTTGCACAAATCAATGCCTTCCAGAATTAAGCACAGCATCGATCTGTATGTCTTACATGTCATACTGCTCTGCAATGTGATGGAATCAACAGAACAAGGTGTTTGGAGTCAGGTGGCTAAACTAGGATTTAAAGTTCACATTACTTACTAGTTAACTGTGGGTGCTAAGGCAATACTCTTGAAGTCTCCATGTCTTGATTTCCTCTTAGTGAAATGGGAATCATAATAATAATAATTTTACAGGGTTGGTGTAAAAATGAAATGACTGCCTGCACTCAATACAATAGTTATTATGGTTATTGTTAGTTATATTATGATTAATTTATTAGTATAATATTGATAAAATGAAAGTGAAATTGCTAGTAGCCAGCTCACAATATTAGTATAACAAAAATTATTTCAATTTGGTTTAAATACAATACCTGTGGTCAATAACATCATCTTTTCTTAAAATGTAATGCATTGAGCACTGTCAATTACATTGAAAAAAAATGCAGATAATCCAGTTGGACTATCCATTAACTGAGAAAATATAAAATTTAAAAACCACCATGAATTCAAGATCACTTATGAATGTAGTTGTATTTTATTGATAGAATTTATATGTATTTGGAAAAAACAGTACGTTTTATGTTAGATATATTTATTCAGATTACCAAAGAAAATGCTTACCGTACATATGGATTGATGGGCCCTATCCAATAACTTTCATCACTCCTCAAGGGCCCTTGGCACACAGGCTGGGAATTACTAATGTTGGTTAAGGTCACAATAGACAGGGGAGGCTTATACTTATAGTTCTGCTTGCCAAGTGGAAATGCTAACCTGCTCTTTCCCAGGAGTTTAGAAAAGCATTTGAAATATTTCACAAGATAAATGAAAATGGGATAAACACAAGGCCTTAAGGAAAATATACTTCTGGTGCATTTATTAAGCACTTGGATCTGATGCATGACACCTGCTTAAAAATCAAAGAATTATCGCAGGCTTTGCTGAGGAAGAAAGAACAAGAAATATGACTGCACACAGGCTCGTACTTCAGCAAGTCAATGTTTTTAAATCAATGAAAAACAATCCAGTGATTGTGTTTGCTACAAAGGGAAAGCAATGTAAGATGACATACAGTATTTCAAGCTGTTCAAATTACTGATGGCACAGTGGCAAGATATATATTCATTAAAACCAAATAGTTGTTTCAAAGTATGTTGGCCAACAGAGATAAATAATGTTTCTCTGAAGCGAATATAAAATAATGTCTCTCCTCAGAATTTTGGACCCTATAATGGTTTTAGCCACAAATACCTCTTGCTTATTTGGGGAATATGCATTTTCCACCTTCATTCAGAAATTCTTGAGTTAGCTCAACAAAATTCATCTTCTACCTCAACGAAAAAAGCATGCGCATTAAGTATCAAAGTATGTATATTTCTACAGTAGGCTCGCTGATGGTCTCATTCGTATTAGTAAATTTGTCATAGTGAATGAGTAAAGTGTGAATAAACACAATGTGTTGAATGTAGAGGCTACTCTCACAAGAATATTGCATCATCAGTGGGCCAATGTTTAAGAGCATGTTTGTGAGGAAAAGGTACAGACAATTTCTCTTTTTTATCTTAATTCTTCTCTTATCAGCATTTTAATTAATAAACATAAAAAGGTAACATTGATACGCAAAGTATTAAAAGGATTGCATTCTCCTAATCAGTGAAAACAATTATTTCTTCTTTATCTGTATAGAAAGTTGAAAGTAGCTGATGTGGGGCCACAGAATATTGGACAATCAGTAGCATATACCGACTCTAGATGTCCAAAACTTAAACAGATTTGTTCTATACAAGGATTTTGTTGATACAAGTGATGATTTAAAAAATTACCTCAGTGCTATTTCAAGCTCCATCCCTCTCAACTATAACCTATACAAATTCTTATAACACATAGCCTAAAAAAGAGATATGTTAAATTTTCACAGCTGAAAAAAATTCCTCTTTTTAATCCCTCCTACCATACTCCCCTCAAGAACTTCATCATAATAGTAAAGTCCAAATTTAGACTTCTATTTTCATCAAAAACCTGGAAAAATCCAAAAGATACTTATAAATTAAGTTTGATAAAGATACTAAATACAGAATAGTGGTGTTCATTGAAGGTGAGAATATAGCATGACAGTTTTTAAATAAAATGTGAAATGAAAAAATATATGATAAAGTGAATGATTGTTGGTTCTTAGTCTTTTATTATTATTATTATTATTTTGTTTGTTTTTTGTTTTGCTTTAAATAGGGTTTCTCTCTGTCACCCAAGCTAGAATACAGCATCAAAATCAGTGCTCACTAAAGCTTTGACTTCCTTGACTCAGAGATCTTCCTGCCTTAGCCTTCTGAGTAGCTGGAACCACAGGCACATGCCATCACACCTGGCTAATTAAAAAAAATTTTTTAGAGATGGGTTATTTATATGTTGCCTAGGCTGGTCTTGAACTCCTGGGCTCAAACGATTCTCATGCCTCAGCCTCTCAAAGTGCTGGTACTACAGAAGTTAGCTACTGTGTGTTGCTGGTTCTTATTCTTTATAAGGAAAACCACATAGGATACTAAAGATGTAAAAATAAAAAATATTTGTATTGGATAATAGTATAAATATCTATAGGTCTTAGTAGACAAATGAACCATTGGGAAGCAACATATTATAGGCATACCTTGAGAATATTTCAGTTTATTCCAGACCCCTGCAATAAAGCAAATATAGCAATAAAGTGAGTCACACGTGTTATTTGGTTTTCCCATGCATAGAAAAGTTATATTTAAACTATAGTTTATTAATTTTAAGTGTGCAACATAATTATGTTTTAAAAACGCATATCTTAAAAACACTTTTTTGCTAAAAATTACTAATAATCATCTGAGCCTTTAGCAAGCTGTAATTTTTTACTGGTGGAGGGTCTTCCCTAGGTGTTGATGGCTGATAACTGATCAGAACGTCAGTTACCTAAGGGTGTGGTGGCTGTGGCAATTTCTTAAAGTAAGACTACAATAAAGTTTACACCATCTATGGACTCTCTTTCCCAAAAGATTTTCTGTAGTATGCAGTGCTGTTTGATAGCATTTTACTCATGGAACTTCTTTCAAAATTGGAGTCAATCCTCTCAAACACTGCCACTGCTGCTTTATCAACTACGTTTTTGTAATGTTCTAAATCCATTGTCGTCATTTCAAAAGTATTCACAATATCTTCACCAGGAGTAGATTACATAACAAGAAACCATTTTCTTTACTTATACATAAAAAGCAATTCTTCATCTTTTCAAGTTTTATCATGAGATTGTAGCAATTCAGTCACATCTTCAGGTTCCACTAATTCTAATTCTCTATTTCCACTACATCTGCAGTTAATTCCTCTCCTGAAGTTGTGAACTCCTTGAAGTCATTATGAGAGTTGGAATCAACTTCTTCCCAAACTCCTGTTCATCTTGATATTTTGACTTCCTCCCCTAAACTGCAAATGTACTTAATGACATCTGTAATGATGAATCATTTCCAGAATTTTTTTTGACTTACTTTTCCCAGATTCATCATAGGAATCAATGTCTCTGGCAGCTACGGCCTTATGAAATGGATTTTTAAAATAACAATCTTGAAAGTTGAAATTACTTCTTGATCCATCGGCTGCAGAATGGATATCGTGTTAGCAAGTATGAAAACAACACTCATTTCATTGTACCTCTATCTTTATCTGAGCTTCTGGGCGAACAGGTGCATTGTCAATGAGCAGTAATATTTTGAAAGAATTTTTTTCTTTTTCTGAGCAGTAGGTCTCAACAGTCAGTTTAAAATATTCAATAAACCATGCTATAGACAGGTGTGCTGTCAGTCAGGCTTTCTTTTTCCATTTGTAGAGCATAGGCAGAGTAGATAGCACAATTCTTAAAGGCCCTAGAATTTTAAGAATGGTAAATGAACTCTGACTTCAACTTAAAGTCACTGGTTGCATTATCCCCTAACAAGAAAGTTAGCCTGTTCTTTGAAGCTTTGGGGCCAGGCACTGACTTCTTCTCTCTAGCTATAACAGCCCTAGATGGCATGTTCTTGCAATATAAGACTGTTTCATCTACACGGAAAAATCTGCTGTATGGTGTAGTTACCCTTATCTATGATCTTAGCTAGATCTTCCAGATAATTTGCTGCTTCACCTTGCACTTTTACGTTATGGAAACAGCTTCTTTCCTTAAACCTTAGCGAACCTCTGCTAGCTTCCAACTTTTCTTCTGCAGTTTTCTCACCTCTCTCCACCTTCAGAAAATTGAAGAGGGTGAAAGCCTTGCTCTGGATTAAGCTTTGGCTTGAGGGAATATTGTGGCTGACTTTATCTTCTATCCAGACCACTAAATCTTTCTCTGTATCAGTCATAAGGCTGTTTCACTTTCTTATCATTTGTGTGTATACTGGAGTAGCATTTTTAATTTTCTTCAAAATGTTTCCTTTTGCATCCACAACTTGGCTAACTGTGTGGTGCAAGAGGCCTAGCTTTTAGCCTATCTCAGCTTTCAATATGTCTTCCTCACTGAGCTTAATCATTCCTAGCTTTTGATTTAAAGTAAGAAACATGGAACCGTTCCTTCCACTTGAATACTTAGAAGCTATTGTAAGGCTTCTAACTGGCCTAATATCAATATTTTTGTCCCAGGGAAGAGGGAGGCCAAAGGAAAGGGAGGAAGACTGGAGAATGGTCAGTGGAGCAGTCAGAACACACACATTTATTGATTAAGTTCACCGTCTTCTATGAGTGCAGCTCATGGCACCCCAAAACAATGACAACAGTACCATTAGAGATCACTGATGGTAGATTACTATAACAACATATCACGTGACAGTAAGGATCATGCAATAATAATGAAGAACTTTGAAATATTGTAAGAATTACCAAAATGTGACACAGAGATAAAAGCGAGTACATGCTATCAGAAACATGATACTATAGACTTGCTTAATGTGAGACTGCCACAAACCTTCAACTTGTAAAAATAACACTATCTGCAAAGCTTGATACAGCAAAGTACAATGAAATAAGGTTTGACTGCACTGCAATAAAATGATATGAATGTACTATGGTTAAAACAACACTGTGGTATATTTATCTCTCCCTGGAGCACCATTCTCCCTCATTGAGTACGACTGACTCTGCCTTCTTATTCAGATTCCAACTCAGATGTTAACTTATCTGGGAAGAGCCTTTCCTGACTCCCAAATCTAAAGGTAGCCAGGCAGTCACTCTTTTGTCACCCCATCCTATACTAGTTCTCTGCATTTTTCACACCCAGTGTTTTCTTATTCTTGTTGGTTCGTTATTGGGTTTCTATGCCCAAATGGATATTACTTTGCTACTTCGCTAAGACACTGTCTGGTTCACTGCTAGATTCCCAGGTCCCAGACTCTAGATGTTCAAGGAATACTTGTTGAACAAATCACAGCTGAGGGGAGCTTCTGTACAAATATGGAGCATTTTATCTGATCACCTACACAAAATGATTTCAGTGATGTTGACAGTAGTCTTCTACCTTCCTTTATCTAATGTATATAGTAACCCTACAATTAAAACATAAATGTAAGAAAAAATGCTCTTTGTTAAAATTTAGCCATCTTCTTCAATAGCTTACATTTTACACTGTAGCAATTATTTACACTTTCATGTGGATAAGGTTAACAGTTATACATCTGAAGGTTGTTTGATAAGCTATAGATGAGAAAAACAGAAAAACTAAAGATATTAAGTGACTGAAAATAAGGAAAAGTAAAACTGGGGCTTTAAGACTTACCTGATGACTTCAAAGATTGTCCCAGCTTCTGTCCTGAGTAGGACTTTTGCATTAACAAGTGAGCCTGATGGAGGCTTAATGTTTCTTAGAAACAGTCTTCAAGTACTGACAGAAGATGGCCATCTGTTCTTCTGATTGCTGAGCCAGAACAAAGGGAAAAGAATAAAATGCAGTACAGAGGGTTTAGATTAGATCTGAAGAAGGATGTCTGCACAAAGTGAGTTGTTATACAATAAAATAAGTTTCAGGAGAAAAATAGTTTTAAACTCTTTCAATATGGAACTCTTCAGAACTAATTCAGATTTGTATCCATAAAGGATGTTTAAGAAGAAATTTTCTTTCTGAAGCCAGGAAAGCAAACTTTGTTCCTTTATTCTTGGAAGTGTTATCAATTTGATATAGTGAATTTGAAGATATTCAAATGACCTTAAGCAATTTGAAATCCAGGGTGAAAATTGCAGAACAACACATGTGATATATGCAAGCCTGTTACTATAAGCTGTAGCAGAACGGAGACCCCAAAAAATCAACCTGAGTACCTTAAGCTGCTTTGTTCAATTTACTTGTATCAGAAGTCCTCTATTGTATAGCATAGAGTTGCCTGACTTTGGGATTTTAAGTGGCCTGCAAGGAAAGTGTCAAGAGAGGACATAAAATAATAGACAAGAGTGCCAGTGGTTTATTTTTTACTTTTACAATGTTCTCCTCGTAGGATTCTTTCCTTCTTTAAGCCCTCTTCTTTTTGAATATCTAATAAATCTCTTACCCCTTGAGGTGCCCATTACCCAAAATTTGTCTTCTCCTGTACTAATTTCCTCTTTTACTCTACTCCCAATCCAAACCAGTGCTCCAAAGAATGATTTCAGGTTTCTAAGGACCCCAAGAGCAAAGGTCTACTCATTTTGGCTTTGGAGCTCTGGAAGTTTTGTTTTGTTTTACTGTTATATTTTCTTTTCTAAAAGAATTTTGGAAAGCTGGTATTTGCATATTCCATCCCAACTATGTGACTACCTGTGACCAGGTACTTAAGTTACATTTGAACATATTCTAAGTGACTGAAGGCCAAATGATGCCCAGCATGCATTCTGAATGATATTGAGTTATCAAAAAGCTTACAATTGTAGAAACATACTGACCAGAGAAAAACCTCCCTGACAGACAGCAAAGGCCAGTCTTTGAAGTGCTCATTGACTACAGACTATCTTACGACAGTTCATTATCAGAGCACATAAAGACAAATATGTTCTGGAGAATTTCTCATTTAATTTTTGATCAATTGTATTACTATATTTTATATTGTGTACATATTCTTAAATTGATTGATCCATGAAAATAATAGAATGGTAGTTTAAAATAACAGTTAAAAAGGAGAAATAGTTATAATGATGATGAATTAAATTATAGCCCCTTATGCTCTAAAGCATAAAAATTAAGTTGACAGCAAGTGACACAGTAAACAAAGAGGTACATTTGTCACTTTTAAATATAACAGGAGAAATATAGTTTAAATAAAAATTCTGGCTCATTTTAAATGTTTCTTACTTGAATTTTATGTTTCTGTAGTTTTGTTTGAACTTAAACATTAGGTTTAATTTTATAGCTGTATAAAATGTAAACATTGTGTTACGTTTGTACAATATTTAAGAAACTTTATATTAAATAGAATTTGAGTTAACTATGAAGATCAAAGAGGTGTTTGTTGTGTTTTCCTTTAAAAGGTGGTGGTATATTATCTCAGATTAACAAATGTTAGAACAGCCTAGTTCTATGTGTGTTAAAAGGAGAGGGACTTGAGTACTTGATTAAAATAACCTATACTAACTCTCCACGTTACCATCATTTTAAGAGAATCCCTGGTAATCCAAACAAATCTCCACTTGGACTTTTTGCCTTCTTAGGCATCCTATGTGAAACCTAACTCAGGACTGTCACCAACTAGAATCGACTTCCCCATGCTTCATCCCTCGCGTACTGAGAGAATGCTGTTGATAGGCCATATTCATGAGTTTGATGATCCTGAGAGAGAGCTATACTGAAAAGAGTGTACATAAGAACCACCAGGATACCTGGGGGGAAATGCAAATTTAATTTATTTGGGTGAATTCTGAGACTATTTTTCCCAAACACCTAAGGTAGCACTGATTCAAGGAGGCCAGAGTGCACACTTAGAGAAACGTGTCTTACCATGCCTTCATAGGAACAAGACAATGGGTACTTTAGGTTTCATGTGACTGTGTATAAGTGACCATATAAGTGGAATGGATCAAGAGTTACAACTGGAAGAATATTTGAAGCTACTTTGCTACTGAATATGAGTCAGTGGCCATCATTATTTAGAGAGATTTTTAAACTACAGAATAAGTGTAGATATAGCTGTCTACTTTGTACCAAAGTTTTAAGCATCTTTATTTTATGGTACTAAAAGTTTCATTATCTAAGGAATCAGATCATTTGATTCTTGAGGCTTATTAATGGAGATCACATCCCAGCTACTGTACTTATTAGTTGGGTGACTATAGTCACTTAACTTCTTGGTGCCTCAGTTTATTCACCTATAAAATGAGAATGAAAATATGGGGATAACGAACAAGTTAAATGAAGTAATGAGTGAAACTAGAACCATGCCTAGCCACATAATAAGAATCCAGTAGCTATTAGTTGCTCTTATTATTATCATATAATATCATGTTTATTACTTCCATTTTCATGACTATTATATAAATAACAGAAATCCACACATATATATTAATGACTTCTCTTTCTAAGATACTGTGCTAGAAAAGATAATAAAACCCAAAATGTGCTCTGAAATACCTTACAAGCTAATGGAAGAATTTAGATATGTATCTAAGTAAAAATAATAAAATGTAGAGAAAGTAGAAATGAAATGTAAGAGAAATGAAATGCAGAAAGACTTCAGAGAAGTGCCACATTACTTGTGACTTAAGTAAATGAGAGAGAACCAAGGATGCCTTATGGGGGATGAAATATTTGGACTGAAACTTGTATGACTGAAATATAGAGATCAAGAAGAGCTTTCTAGATTAATTGGAGTAACATAACAATGGGATGAAGGTAGGAAACCATTTGGACAATATGGAAAATTGTGGAGAATTCTCCATATTTGAACCATATGGAGAATAACGCATTAGTTACTCTATGTGCTGTAGTGTTAAGGGTCCAGGGGAAAACAACTTAAAGATGAGCAGAAAAGACAGACGTGAAATGGGTGGGGCACATGATAGCAATTGCTAAATACCCTGCTAAGTTTAGCTTGATTCTAAATACTCCTACGAGATAAAAAAGGGTTGTAGAAATGGGAGTATTAGGGCCAGACTGGTTTTAAGGTAATCTATAAGGCTCCAAGGAAGTGGTTGTCAAAGTGTGGTCCCTGAACCTGCAGCATCAGCATCACCTGGGAACTCGTTAGAAATGGAAATTCTCAGGCCTCTTCCCAGACCAAGTGGATTAGAACCTCTGGAAGTCCACCATTCGGTGTTTTATCAAGTACTCCAGGTAATTCCTATGCAAGCTCAAATCCGAGAACCACTGCTGTAAATTACATAAGAGATTGAAAAGGAAAGCGACCAGAAGGTCTGGGATCCACTACGAATCAAGGAAACCAGTTGATGGGCTATCAATGATACTGAAATCCTACGTAAGAGGGAGTGAGGGCATGAGCCAAATCAATAGAAAGAGGAAAGGAGGTTGAACCAGGAATACTGTAAAAATAATGTCATTTATACAATAAATAATGTTACTATTCTTGGCATCTGTTAGCCTTTAGCATCATTAATTTTTAAAAATGACTTACCAAAAGATAATCCTTAGTTAAAACTATACATATTATGTTATTAGTCTGAAAATATGAAAGTGTGCTAATGGTGCCAACTTCCCGCTTCTACTTTAAATTTTTGAATTTCATTAAAAGAGAAAAGAGGGAATATTCTGCTGTACTACCATTAAAATTAGCATAGTGAGTACATTTTGTATGAATTTGACAATCTCTGTTACCAGTAAATCTAGAACTACCAATCTTCTCTTTATAAAACCCAACTCTATTTGGTTTCACACTGTGATTTTTTAATGGTCTTATTTGTGCATTATTTCAATTTTCATTATATATTGTGCCATTTCGTATTCTCCATGATTATGTTTTCACTGAACAGATGCACTACAGTTTTGCTGCACCAAATTCTATGATCCATAATTAGATGTCAATATGTTTTCTTTATGAACTAAATACATTTTTAGTTACTTGGACATTAATTAAAATCACATGCTGGATTGTTACATCCTTTCAACACATTTTTGAGGAAATATTTTTGGTTTACTTGAATGCTTTAAAACATTCAATTTTATACTATATAATTCTTTTTTCCTAAGAACAGATACTGTAGCTAATATATAAATACTAATTACAGAGTTATACCACAGAAGCCATTAATGAAATATACCCATTCACACACAAAAGAAATGACACTTGATAAATCAGGAAAAAGAGTACCATTATTTGTATTTATTTTATGGTAATTCTAGGAAAAAATAAATAAAACAAAATTTCACAATAATGGCAAACAATGACCAATACTGAACTACAATGGGAAGAGAAGCAAATTTTAAAATTCACTTACAGACCAAAAAAGACAGGATGAAAAGATAATACAGAGCTCATACTCTTTAGTCATGTTATATTGTACCATTATGGACATTTTTAACTCTTCATAAGTTTGAATGAGTGATGTACTCATCTCATGGAAAAACTGAGAACAGGTTTTCCCAAGGATGAAGAGAACATTTCCAACCTGTAACAAAATGTTGAAAAATCTAATCCCACAGAGTTGCTCTACATATTCCAGGCATTCCCATCCATTTTTATATCATAAATGTAGTCTGAAACTGGTGAGAGGGTAGGACAGATAGGGAGGTAAATACATATGGAAATTATTCTAACATGTCTCTGTCATTCTATCTCTGTTACTCTAAAGTTTCTGCATTTAAAATTACATCCACCTCGTGAAAATTCAACAGGTATAAAACTTCCTTCAATAGAAGATACAGGGTTTCCTAACATTCATCCAGTTCTGGCTCCAATATATAGGGATATAAAGTGTGGCTTTATAGAAATCTGTTTATTTGAA